GAGGGTAAACAAGACTTTTGTATATTCACTAAACACATGATATAAAACACACACACACACACACAAAAAAAAAAAAAAAAAAAAAAAAAAAGAATTTTAACAAGAATAAAGGAAGTTATTGATTAATTTTACATTTTAACAGAAAAATAAGAACATGGAATCTTAACATGATTAAGGGAAGTTACTGATTGATATTCCTGAATATCAGTATCTTCTAAGATCTGATGGAATGTATTTGCTTTTCGACAGAGTAAGTTTGCTTTCGTACCCGCTACTTCTCATATTTGGGAATTTATTTTTGAATATTTCAGTAATCCTTCTCAGGTTATTGCCGAACAAATTTTGGAACTCAGTCATGATTTTCCTAAGTATTATCGATAAGTCAACTCGTTTTTATGCTCAACATGGGGTTCATGTTTATATTAGTATTTTGGTTACTGATAGTATTAGCAAATGTATGAGTTAAATTCTGTGTTTGTACGCGCTTTCGTTCGGGGTTGTTATCTTGTGCATAATTAACACCGCATCTAATCGATGTTTCGACTAAAGTTTTAATTTTTGAGAACTTACTACATACTCTTTATGAGGCCGCATGACGAATAACCCACAACTAGCACACTTAAATGTATCGATTTTGCATTTAATGTCATAATTAGAACTTTAATAGTAGTCTGCACATTTCACACAACTTGGCACCATGTGACAGGTTTCCGAGGAATGGTGCCATTTTCGGCAATTAAATTATTGGGGTATTTGATATTTAGAAACATATTTTCAACAATACAGTAACCTTATAAATATCCTCAACTGATTCGGTTCTAAGTAACCGAGTTTGAAATAAAGGCCTAGGGGTGCCCATACTCCGATTTTTCGTTAACTACACTACCTTGTACACATTATTCCCTTTTCTTCCAGTGCAGATTTAATAATGCTAGCATCCATAGTAGAGGAAAGCCCTCGTAATAAAACTTTAATAGGCTTTTCTCACTTAAAATTCACTACAAAATGATCAACGGAATTTAAAAAAAATATTTACTAATAATACAATGGTCATTCTCAGTTTCTGGCAAAACTCTCAAAACCTTACCGCTGAGGCGACAGAGAAATTTTACATCAGATAGATTTTTCAGAAAGATTTTTGCAAAGTCCTCATATTTTTCATTTTCTTTTGTTTTCAACATGACAACGTTTGTTGCTCAAGGGATCATCTTTTGCGAGCCTGGTACTCGCCTGACAATTAAAATCACGATTATTACTGTTATTACAGTTAGTATTCATATGAACATTACAATCATAATTATTACTTACATCAAGTGCATTAGTCAAGATATCAAATCTACCTGAAATAGGTGCATTCTTAGCTTTAGCAATTTTTGGCTTTACAGTTTTGTTGGTTTCATAAAACCATCATCGTTATCAGTTAAATCAGAATCTAAATTGCCAGTTTTGTTTTTACTTCTGCCAGAACCACGAGCAGCTGTTTAAGGCTTAGCATGTTAGCTATTAAAGCTATTGGCAATACAATTACTAAAAGCGATCAATTTAAAAGTACTCGTTAGATAAAATTTGCACGTACCTTCAAGTTCTTCGATCTGTCTAGTTAACATTTATATTCCAAAATATCCGGTCGTGAATTTGTTAGATTCGGAACAATCACGCTGAACCAAATTTTCTGGAAGCACTGCATTCACTTTTTTCGTTTGAAAAAGAAATATTTCCTTCGAAAACATTATAATCACGGTTCCAGAAGATTGCAGGATCTTCAGAAGGATCCGATTGTAATAATTCTTTATTTCGGGAATAATTTAACAGTTCATATCATCGTTGTCTTTAAGGCAGATAGCCCTAGCGTTCTTTGCCATAATTAAATACACCAAACACCAAACACCATCGTTGTCTTTATTATCCATAGTAGAATCCCAGCCAGACTGAGGAAGGAGTGGCAGGGAGTTCTTATCTCCCATCAGTAAGCGGTCATACTTCATTAGCGAGAAAGCAAAAGCAACCAAAACGCACACCTACACGATACACGTCTAGAGTGCAATCCCGTTGGTGTAAGGTATTTCTTTGGAATACAACTCGAGTTCGATGATAACTCCAAATTTTCAAGTTTTTTGTCTTGTTTTTTCGCGTAATTTAGTTTGTAAATTCGTTAACAGTGACTTTTAAAGAAAGTTAATACACACTGTCAAGTAACGAAGAAATGTTTAGGATCACATTACCATGGAGATGAAAAAAGAGATTGTTGAAAAATATAAAGCCGGGATGCATATCTGGGATTTGGCTAATGCATACAGTACGCTGAATTGGATGGTGTCTATGAATGTGAAAAGCAAAGACACTATTAAATCGGTTAATGTTGCAAAGGTGTTAAATCGATTAATAAGCAAAGATCAAAGACGTTTTGCTTTTGATCTGGATAGTAGAAAAACCTTTTTGCACAGTATCATTTGCAGTGCTTCATTTATGTACAGTATATATACCGATTGTAAATGTTAGTGGGCGAAATAAAAATGTATTTCAACTACTGCATTTATATTAACAGTATTATAATAAAAATAAAAACAAAAGGATTTTTTTATACGAAAGTATTAATTATTATCCTTTTATTTCTTTTAGGAAATGTTGCTTTGGTGCACGTTCAAGGATTTGAATGGTATTAACGACGGTTATCGAGGAACCATGCTGCAGCGCAGATGCTGTTAGTAATGGAATGGAATGGAAGCTTGACGAAGCCGGTTCACATATTTACAACATGCCAACGGACGACCTGTACAAAACGTGCTTTTTAAGATGATGTGAAACATATACTATCAAATTAAATAGCTGTATCCTGTATTAGTGATAAAATGACATCTAGCATATAATTTTACGGATGAGAAATGCTTTGAAATCAAGAAAAAAATGTAGTATTTTCAACAAAGATGTTTTACATCTTATATTTGATGCACAGTTGAGGAAAGCAAACATGAATTTTCCTGCCTACAGTATTTACTTGCTTATATCCTCCCCTTAAAGTTTTTAGTAAAACAGTCTGAAAACGTTTTAAATATTCATTTAACTCCCTTGCCTAAGATGTTTCGAAAATGAGCTCCCAAAAATGTTTAAATAAATTCCTCTACATAGTGGTTATTTTCGTCTTAATAACTGATTTCCTCGTGGATTTTGGATGCATGAAACTTATAAAGCATTTATAGTGAAGAACTTCGAGAAAATAGAGATATATAATGCTCTATATCAGAGTTCTCAACCTTTATTAACCTCTCAACCCAGGGGTATAAAACTCCAGTCACAATTGCTAGAAGATTATTCCCCTCCTTTCCAATATTCGAAAAACAAATATAGATTTAGAAGATTTTTCAACGTATTTTGTAAATTAAACAATAAAGAGTATAGAAAAAAATAAAGTTATTGTACTTTTTAATCGTTATACTTTTATTCAAGTTGATAAATACTAACTTAAATCAAAGTAGTTTTTTTAATATTAAAAAAAAACTACTTTTATTTACGAAACTAAATATTTAAAAGGGAAATACGAAGCTGACAGCATTCCTCTCCTGAAACTGGAATTCCTCCCCTCCCCCCCAAAAAAGAGAATGCCCCTTGGCTTGAGTAACCCTGGTCTACATGGTTCTAAACATCACTGCACGAAATGCACTTTATGGTAAAATATGGTAAATATCATTGCACAAGAGAAGACAGACTAAACAGCGACGAAAACGATGACGATGGTGATGATGGCCAGGACTTGCAAAGTTGTAACAGATGACAAGTTCCAGCAGCACAGAGTGATTCGAAGCTTGCAGCGTAGGTGCGGACAACAATAAGAGTGGGTGAGATTCAAGACGCGGGGAGCAGAGTGTTAATATTATTGTGTATTCTTAATGAAATGCAAGTTTCTTTGAAACAAATAATATTGCGATAGTTACCGGTAGTTTATCCATGAAGATTTTTCATTTGTAATTTTCTTACTGTAACAGCGTCCTTCGAAAATTAACTTAATCATATAATTTTTTTCCTCTTGATTCAGGCATGATAAAATTGGGGACGAAAAGCGGGGAAATACGCGAGTATAGTATACTGTAAGTCTTTTCTGGAAGGATTATAGATTATCTGGAAAGGATTGAGTTGAGAAAATTTATCTTGTCCGTGGAAGTCTATTTTTATGGGAAGTATAGATTTTTCGCAGGATATCCAAAGGAATAAATTACATGCTAGGTAAAGAATAAGAACGGTTTCCAGCTATAAATTAGTATAACTAACACATAATATTTTAATAACTAATTACAAAGAAGTAAACGCTGTTAAAATCTCAAATAATGTAATTTTCGCTAGCCGCTACTCACAACCAAAAAACGGAATTGTACACTGTGTAGAGTCATTAGGATTTTTTAACAGGAGATGTGAAAAAAGGGCAATGGCTTCGCCAGGATTCGAACCTGGACCCGAATACACGTCCAGTGTGCTACCGTTACACCGCAGAGGCATGCGAAAAAAGAGGGAGAAAATATCTCATAACTGAAGAGCCAAAAAACACAATTATTCATGCGATAATTCTTCTCCGGAACCGGAATTAGAATCTGTCTAAACCGAAGAGGAATTATTGTGTGAAATTTAGTAAAAACGTTAACATAATTAAATATGTATTGCATTTAAGTCTGTCGGGTCTTGCTACACAAATTATCATGAACTGACTCTTAAATTTTTGAAGTTTTCATTATGAGTTTCTAAATGCAATGTATTATAATTGGATGAAGTATGTCGAAATGCTTAATGTATCGAACAAAATTTGCCCAGTTAATCGAAGACATGATATAAATTTCAATCTGTATTTTGTGTTGTTCGACTGGGATAAATATACTTGGCTCTAAAAGAATAAATATGTTACAAATAGAAAATAATACAATTATTTTTAGTTAAATTCCATTAAAATGTTCTTCAGGACTGAAAAAAAAAAAAAAAAATGTTTAAAATCTTTGTTAGGTATATTATGTCTTTTATTGAAAATGAAAATAACATAAACATTAAAATAAAAATGACTGTACAAAGTTATTATATCTTTTGAACAAGCAAAAGAAATCACATATTCGAATTTTTTAAAAATACAACGCAACTAAATACTTCCTTATTAAAATGGCAGCCACCATTGTCCGTCGCGCTTTTTTCCCGAAATTGGCAAACACAGTTGTCCAGTCTTTAACATGCAAATTTCAAACGTCGGTAATTCTTAATTTAGTTGGCTTCATAATAAGGTATTAACCAAAAATAGAATGTACATGGCAAGGCATAAATAGCATATTGCCTATTTTAAAATCTTTAATGCGGATAGTTTGTTTAATAAAAATAATAAAAATATTCAATAAAGAAAGAATTCATATAAAATGATCATCAATGAGCAGCATAATTCATAATATTCTCAAGCAATAAGTCATAATCTGCGAAGAAATAAATCAGAATATAATAATGCTAAATGAAAAACAGTTGGTTCAAATTTCTTTCTAAGTAGATATTATTATCGAAGTAAACTTTATGTAAAAATATATTTTACAGTACCTTTTTTATAATTTATTATTTTCCTGGCACAGAGCTAAAAACTTCCAAAAAACGTCTTCCTTACTTTTGTCAAATGAACCAAACATACGATGCGTCGAAAGCAAAGAATTTCGATTTTCTTTCATTCTATTAAGAGATATTTCGGATGAAATTTCATTTGGTAAATAATTTTGGATTTCACCTCTTGGAAAATTCCCTATTTCATTTAAAGCAGGAAACTTTTCGAAACAGGGCTCATTTGTTTGTATATAATTCATGGTATATATCATGAAATATTTTTGTTGAAATTCGTTTGTAGATGGTAAAACAGGCAGTGATATATTAGAATTCCCAGCCAATTCTATTTGGTCTTCCTGCATAAGACTGTCACTTCTTGAAATGTTACCAACTGGAGAAATAGGAAATAGAGGAATTTCGATTGTTATGAGAGCATCATTGGGTAGTGCACCTTGTAATCTGAGCATTGCTGCAAGAGCGGAAGTCGCTCTAGTATATTCGATGCGAATCTTTGGAATTTCGCCCTCTATGCAGAATTCAGAGTAACATATGGTACCGAATGCTCTAAACAATTCAAAATACATATCTCTTGGGATGTTACAATCAATTCCAGATACCAATACACTTCGAGACCTAAAATCGCATTCCTTTTCCAGTTGCATGCACTGATAAAAAAGTGCTGCTCCATCATACAGAGTAAAATTCAATCGGGAAACAAGTCGTTTTACTTTAAAAGCACACAATTGAGTTACTTCCTCGTTATCGTATACAAAGATAACAGCCTTCTTCTGGGGGTTGAAAATATCAGGTATAATTTTCCGCATATTTTTCCAATATATGATGTCGCTGAAAAGAGTAAAGAACTTACCGAAATTGAAAAAATTAGGTAGATTTCCAATTACCATACAACTTCGAAAATGAGTTTCTTCAGGTAGAGGCTGAGCACCTGTATTTCTGGAATTAAAAATTAATTTTTTTCAGACATCTTTACAGAATTTAAAAATTAATTTTTTAATACGCTTAATGAAGAAACTGTCATTAAAGAAATTTGTGAGGTTCCACTATATTAATGAACCAGTTATTTTATGTTTTGTATCTCTCACTTTTCCCTTTCCGTTTTTCCGCCAGAATGCGAGGAAAATGAAGGTGAGGTTTTTAGATTGTAAAACAGGACATGTTCTGGCTCTCGTGGCCACGTTACTAGGTTGCTATCATAGTTCTTCTTTTCTAATACTAGGTTGCTATCATAGTTCTTCTTTCTTATTATAATTGCCGGCAGCTGAATTCCGCCTGGTTAAGTTTTGAGCCAACTTCGTGTGTTAAATTCATTGTCTGGCCTTCGACTACTAGCTTATTTGAATTTATATTTTACTTACTGTTATTTTAAGTTATCTCGCCACAAGTAGTTGGCTGAGTTATAAGCACAAAGTGTGCCTTCTATACTTATTTAGTTTTAATAAAGGGTCTTTTACACCCATCCGAAGTTTCAATTGTTAATTTAGACTTAGCGATAATTCGCTTAACGTCTACCAAGAATTTAGACACACTACAAATTGATTTACAATTTACGAATAAAAGTGATCAGAATAATCTGAAAGTAGTCCGAGTGAAAATGACTGAAACTAGTCTCAGTAAAATGACTACATTTGAAAAGTTATAGCATTCTGTAAATGTAAATGATTTTCCATATACCTGAAAACAGAACTAAAAACTAGGTATTTTTTTATTTTTAGTATTATTGCATGTAAATTATTTATTTTTTAAATTTCATTAATATTATTATTACAAGTTTTAAATATTACCATCATTTAAATTTAAAAACTTGTTTAACCTCAAAATTACGTCTGACTTTGATCATTATGTTGAAAATCCTTGGAATTTTTCACATGAATACTATTATAAGTAGAGCTTTCATTTTCATTATACTATATTTCATTTTCAGACATCTTTACAGAATTTAAAGATGATAGCTTTTTAATACTTTCCTTGAATCGTAAATTTTTAGTTGCAATGCAGATACATCATAAAAACCCTCCGTATTTGCTTAGTTCCATAACTGTATAATATCCAATGTTATCCGAGCTTAGAAATATATATCCATGTATAACAGAGTTATACTTACTAACCTCAGCACAGTTCTAATCATCAGAAATAACAGTGAGATTCCTTATTTATTTATTTATTTATTTTAGCTTTAGCTCGAATCAGTGAGTTTCCTGAGACTTTCCTGCTGTTGAGCATTCCATTATTCTGGGAATGTTTTTGACGACGAAACTTGTGAATGCAATTGAAATACTTTTGATACTCAATTAAACATTTAAAATGTGATCTTAATCATTTGCCTCCCTGATAGGTGTAGTAGTTCGTGTTCGAATCCCGGAGAAGGTTTGAACTTTTATAAGCGTATAGTGCTGTGCAGAATGAAGGCACTTAAAATACTGGTGATCCAAATGTCCTCTCAAGAGGTTTGGTAATAGGGAAGAAGGATTTTAGGAAGTGAGACACTTTAAGATCATCCCCCTCCGGAAAAACTTTTGACTTAACTTTCCTCGGTTTTTACATATTTTGCTGTCGACCGTTTACGACAATGTCACTAAGCAGTCCGATTTACGGCCAATAATGGATAAAGGTAACGTCACAATGCACTCATAAGAACTTCGCTTTGATTTCGTATGACCCCTGAAGTATGTATAGTAAACCGGGTTAAATTTTTTAAGGAAGTTATAAGTTCAGTGCTATTTTTTTTTTTTTTTTCTTTCTTCCCGTTGCATTTTTAGCCCACCAGCGGCTGAACACTGGTAGTTCGGTCCGAGGTTCGAATCCCGCGAACGGGCTGGCTGCCTGGGCGTTTTCGTGGTTTTCCCCATGTGTAACGTGTATACGAGCCAGTTTTCCTTAGAAAGTCCTCCACGAAGGCATCCCTCCCTTTAGGTAGATAGCCCTCGTGTGCTTTGCCAAAATTAAATAATCCAATCCCATTGCATTTTGAAAAGAGGATTAAAATTTGGGGCACGTTTCTATAGAACTGCAAACATGAATATTTTCAGCAACTTTGATGGACAGATTATACTGATGCGCATACTCAAAACCTTAAAAGACTGTAGAATTCGTGAAAATGACGCAATAAAAGACATTGCCAGATAGTAGGTCACTACTCGGACTCGTACTTAGTTAATGAATTTATATGCTTTCGATTTCATAAAGAAAGTGGTCGCTTTTTTTAAGCTCGTAGCTATTAAAAATTTTATATGGCATATTTGTAACTTGTATCTGTTGATCATCTAATTAAATAAAGAACGTTCTGTTAATATATAACTAGATTAAGATAAACCTGATCCTTCAAACTTTCACCAGAATCATTGGGGCAATTTTGGAGGGATTTCTTCCATCTTTCACGGTTGACAACCAAAATACGTTAAGTATACCTCCCTCTCCTCGTAAGTGTAAAATAGTTGTTGCCTCGTAGTTGCCCTCTACGGTGCACCTTGGGCAACCTTCTCGTTGATGGGACTCTTATGGTGCACCTTGGGCAACCTTCTCGTTGATGGGATGACTAAATGACCGATGAGTTTGGCCTTTTCCGACGAATGTTTAGCTAGTAAAACATCAGACCTTTGGAGGGAAAAAATAATAATGATTTAGTAAATTTCAGAAAGAATTGGGGAACATTGAGCTATGAGCATTTAATATACACTAAGAGTCATATTTCTGATACGCTTCCAACGCCATTCGATCTTGTTGGTAGCCCTGATGATACAGGTGATTCTAACAACTAGACAATAGCTTGTAAAACTCAACAAAAGGGTACTGAATTATTTAAAATTGGCAAACTATTTGTGAATATGTATATGCGGAATGGAAGGGGCATTTTAAGGAAAACTCGCTCGTATTGACGTTGGACATGGTGAAAATCACGAAAACTCACAATCGAAATTTCCTGGAGACCGGATTGTGCATCAGGCTGTGTGCTAGAATTTGAACTCGTATCGAACTACCAAGGTTCAGCCGTTTTACTACTCAACATCTGGTGGGCTCGATGAATGAAAAATGAATTCCAATACTATTTAAATTTCTACAAAACAAAAATTAGTTTACCGCTGTTAACAAATACTGAGATTAGATATACATAGATCATGAATATTACTACATGTATTTCATATCATGCATATACATATTTCTTCAATCCAAAATAATTCCTACAATTACCTCCGAAACTAGGACTAATATACCTGAGAATATGAATTCCAGTAAATGCTTTTATTTGCCTAAAAATATCTGAAACACCGACAGAAATATATTTGCAGATTATTCTGAATGCAAAAGTCATCAGTCAACCAGTAGTTTTTGACCGAATTTTTTAAAGACTTAATCAACAGACAATTTTCGCGTTGGAATAGAATAACTACAAATGTATTACAATTACAAATTCCGGTCCGGCTATGGGTAGGGCCCAAGACCTCGCAGGAACTGTCAGATGAGGGTAAGGTGAAGGAATGAATACTTGAAGTGCGTACATCGTTAAGAGGAATCAGGCACGGGAGTCGAAGGAAACGAAAGCAGCCTTCGATGGTATGAGTAATGTTTGAATCAGGCAGATCGCTGCGTCTCTGAATGGAATAGAAAAAAATTGTTGCTGAAACATTCTCGGTAGATAAGGAAAATCCCGCTGCAGAAAAGGAAGGCAAATCACTGGCCCAGGAGTAGAAAAAGAAGATAACTTTTTCAGGTCACTTTCCATCTCAACTGCTCTTTAGTTCTCCCTCGCGGAGTTGAATCACTACAGTTAATCTTATTTATTTCTTCCATTATCTTTTTTTTTTCTTTTCTTCTCAAGCGCCCATTGAGAGTGGTGCAGAAAATGGAAGCAGTCGGGCTACCATATTCCAGAAAATCCCCCAAAAGAAAAGAGAATTTTCAGCACCCTTGTAAAGAACAAAATAATGCAAAAAATTCTACTTTTTCGTTCCTTCAGTTCAACCCTTTTCGTCCTTGTTATAATGTAGCTTTTGAAAGCCGGAAAAATCCTTTCCCTTTCTAATGAAAATATGTACTTATTTGTAAATTATTTCTCAATTAACCTACATTAAAAACATAAGAAATACCAGAAAGGCAAAATTTTATCTTTTACAGTGAATAAATTCCAATTACATAAATCAATAATTTGTATTTCTAAATATGCAAAAGAGGCATGTCTTTTTTACTCGAGTTAAGATAAAACTCAAAGCCGATTACCTGATTTTTTTCAGAGTTACGAAACTAATAATAAATAATAAAATGGAATTCCATTTTATTATTCCATTCTATTTATTATGGCGGGCATTAGCCATTTTAGGCTTTGGTCACTATTGAGTATAGAAGTGCTATCTTATTATTGGAATCACCTAATAGGCGGCCACCTTTGCCTGTTATGAAGAGACACAAAATACATATTAGTTAAAATCACTAACCACTTTCCCATCTGGGAGGCAAGAAATTAAGCTTACGAATGAATTATTAACACCCCTAGTTAAAAGATTAAATAGTAAATTAAAGTGCGTACCTGAATTTTGAACGCGATTTTAACGAATTAAATTAATTTGACTACATAACAGACAATCGGACGACTTCGCACATGGTCGCATGTTAGGGATGCGTGAAGTGGGTTGGTTATACCGAGCAACAGCTCGCCACCTGCACCGTACGATCATGCCTGGACAAAGGTGCAAGAATAATAGCTGAAAAGATACTCATCAGCGGAATTAAGGCTCTGGATGGCAAAACAGCAGGAAAAGGAGGCAAGATTAGATGCTTGTTCAACAGGCTCGAACTTCACTAATGGCATCATTATCGGTTTCTTTACATGCTACAGCTCTTTCATACCACCCGTGACACTTCACACTATCTCAAAGCGCATGGCTGAGGCAGGGTTTCACTCACATCTCCCTCTAAGACATCTGTCTATTTAACTCCACAAC